CATTTAAAATGCATGTAAAATTTTTCTATTTTTTTTTTAAATTTCTAATGCTTACCCACCTTTTACAATAATGCAAATCGGTTTGATGGACCTTGTGGGGAATTTCATGCTCTTCGAAATTCCTTTAGAATTTTTTTGTGCAACTCGCACTGGTTCACCAGTAGAAGTCGTCAAAGTACAGTTTTTGAAAAATATATTTTTTTTTTCAATTTTTTCGAGCAAACCGCCAAAAGTAGGGATAAAAAAAGAGTTATCCAACCAATATTTAATTAATTTACAGCCATTTTTTACCTGAAAACGTAAGAAATTGAGAAATACTAACTCGTAATGTTATTTAGATTAATTTTTTCTATTGATTACCATTATACAGTGAGCATCTTAAGTCTTACCCCCCCCCCTAACTAACTCGTTACTGGGGTCTTGTTAGGGAAATCGCCGAGACAGGTCGATTTTTAATTTCTACAATGTACATTTTTGCATGATTAGTTAACCCTTAATTTCATCCCTTACTGGAGGGTAAAAACCCTTTCGAAAAATTTAAATGGTATGGGGTGGTGAGTGATAGCTCATTTGAAAGGGGGTTTTATTCTCTATTCAACCGTGCAAAAAAATTTTGAAATTTGCATCATTACATGTTGATTTATTAATGTTTAAAAATAACAAAACCTCACAAAATAGGAAAGCAACTAGACTAACAGTGACCTTCTAATGGCAAAAAGTTTTACTTCACGTCTGAACCAAAACCGAAGTCATGCAGGGCCGAATTTTAATTCTAAGGATGAGTGCGCTACGTTAATTTCCGTTATTCTGAAACAACAATTAGTCGAGAATTAATGAAACAAATTTCAAATTTTTTTACACGGTTGAATAGAGAATAAAACCCTCTTTCAAATGAGCTATCACTCACCACCCCATGCCATTTAAATTTTTCGAAAGGGTTGCTCCCCTCCAGTAAGGGATAAAATTAAGGGTAAACTATTCATACAAAAATGTACATTGTAGAAATCAAAAATCGACCTGTCTCGGCGATTTTCCTAACAAGACTCCAGTAACGAGTTAGATAGGGGGGTAAGACTTATGGTGCTCACTGTATGTCCCTATACTAAGAACTTTTTTAGAATTATTACGATTTCTCACTCATAATGAATATAATTTCGAAGAGCGTAAAGGTCCATCAAACCGATTTGCAATATTGTAAAATAAGCATTAGAAATTTGAAAAAAAAATAATTTTTTATACATGCGTTTTAAATAGTAAAACTTTAAATTTAAATAGTAAGTACTTAAAATTGATATAAATAGTTCAAACTTCCCCCTAATGTACATTTAATTAGAAAATAAAAATTTTAAAAAATAGATCTGGTCATGGATTAACGAATCCTTAATTGTAAAGAACTGCGTAGGAGACCAAACTGAGTTTTTATTATCTTTCCTTCCTTTGTTAAATAACTAATGAGTCCTATTCGTGTCAGGGAAAGATAATTAGTGTTTGGGAGTTAAGAGCGCTAATCATCAACATCTAATGGAGGCAAAAATAATTTTTAAAAGTTAATAATTTGATCTACGTGCTAGATAGTTAAAAAAACGTTCACTAAGGTAAAACATAAGTATAGATGGATGTTGGTGGCTTTAGAGAAAGCTAATATTATTCATAAATTTGAGTATTGGAGTTTGGGGTAGGCAAAAAAAATCCTCCATATTTGTTTGATATTTCGCAAACCTTTTCCGTTAACAAAAGCAATTACTTGTGGTTTCAAAGCAGTAAATACTAGGGTTTTTATTTGAGTAAAATGTGGCATATACCTCTAAGCAAGATGCTCATTCTTTGGCATCTACAAGATACATGTAATTAAAACGTTTTAAAACAGAATTCACTTTATCCAAACTTTCACAATGGTGCGAAATATTAAAATTCTTAGACCATCATGCATATAAAGTAGTAATTTTCAATCTCTTTCCCTTTATTTATCTAAATTTGTTGTGAAATTTCAAATAACATTGTTTAATTTAAGTTAGGTTCCTGATGGCGCCTTTATGTGCATAAGTGGTCATCACAACAACATACTTTTCCTATGTTTAAAAGATAGATCGTAAACATTGGTATCCTGTATTCCTGTATTCCTGTATTTCACAAAAACTAAACAATTACATAAAAGTATGTGCTTATGATGGTGTATGGATAAAGGTTAGGTTATGTCGAAAATGAATGCCCAGTATAGCAAATAAACATCCCACCTACGCTGCAATTCCGGAATCTTTAGGTTCGCGTTTAATGTAACCCTAACATCCATGCAACCACCGAATGTCCGCAACTGCAAAACTTTTGTAGCACATCTTATAGAGGTTACAAAGTAAAGTTCGGAGAACATTCCACTAGCAGTTTTACAGTAGTTTCCCCCGAATGTCGTTCTGAAACGTTTTATAGATGGTTATAATGTGAGTTAGTTGTAGAGCATTATACCGTGTTTGTCCACGTATGAACTTAACTATATTTATTTTAAATTAAAAAAGTAATTCTTCATCATTTATTTTGCTTGTTTAATAATTACGATTCACGTAGAAAAATTATGAAAAATTACTTTCTTCTTAAATTTAAAATAAATATTTTTTTCTACATCCACATGGATATTAGCTTACCTAAGCACAGATTACAAAACGAAAAGTATGCTATTGGGTTCAACTGAACGAATATATTTCATATCCATTCTAGATAGTGAGAACAATGCAAAAATATAAATTCACTAATCACAGTTCATATTTTGGACACCCAACTACTACCTATTATTTTTGAAATTTTAAATAAGTGACAATTCTGTCAAAGTAATTGTCTGTATATATATTTTTTTTAATGAGATTAAATATACATTACAATGAGCAATTTTTATGTAGAATCAATAAATAATAGCATTTTAATTTTTATTTGGTACACATTTAAAAAAAATAAATAAATTTTAATCAAACTGTTATGTTGGCTTTTGCCACTCTAGTGTACTGTCAGTTGTCAGCAAGGTCAGGGTTGTGGAACACGAGACGATATGTCAACTGTCACGGTACAGTTACTGCAGTATTGCCTTACCCTCGCTCTTATTTAATTCAAACTGACACGGGGGTATATCGCAGAAACAGATGGCATATAATTCCAGCTCCCTATTATAATAGGTCAAAACTCCAAGCAAATATTACCCCAGCACTGTCCGAGCCTAAGGTTCATTATTATGATAAGGCCAGTGAGGAGGCTTCTGTCACAAATGAAAAGTCAGACTGATTGTAGTGTGCAAGACTCAGTGCCAGAAAGTGTCGCGAGTGAGGTAGTGCGCGAAGAAAGACGATCCCGCGATTCATTTGTACCATATTCACCCGCAGATTCTCTCGAACCTCTTGTACCCTCCTATAGACCTGCCAGAATTGTAAAACGTCCCTCCTATTTGAAAGACTATGTAAGTCTGTAATTACCACCTTTCAAAAGGGAGAGATGTTATGTTGGCTTTTGCCACTCTAGTGTACTGTCAGTTGTCAGCATGACAGCAAGGTCAGGGTCGTGAAACACGAGACGATATGTCAACTGTCACTCGAACCTGCCCGCCTTTTTTATCGCTAGTGAGTTACAACTTACTATGATGTCTAATGTACTGTATTACAACATTAAAGAGTTACTCAGAACTTGGGGTGCTTCTTTTCCCGTTATCAACATCTTATCAAACACAAACTATATGAAACTAATTTAATTACGAGTATTAAAACTAAAATTGTAAAAGCGGCCGTGAAGCTGTGAACAGAACTTCTGCGTTTCACGAGAAATATCCGGGATCGGTTCCTGGCTGACACTAATTAAATTAATTTTTTTTTATGTTTATTTTATTTTATGATATTAAATTATTTTAAAATTAGTTATTTTGTCTTAATAACCTAAAATAATTTTTTAAATTTGTAGATTTTCGTTAGTGGATCGTAGAAAAAATGTACTGTACAACTCCAGTGGATTGTCCATTACGCTCTAAGACGCCTACGGTGTCGTGCTCAAACTTCTTTTGCGTGCCATATGGCCATCATATCCACTCTTCTTGCACAAAGTACTGTTCTACACTCACATGGATATTAGCGTATCTCTACACACAGATTTGACAACAAAAAAGTATACTATTGCGTTCAACTGAACGAATGCTTTGGACTCCGACAACTCAAGGAAAGGAGGAACTGCGAAAGCAGAGAACTCTAATCTCTTAGCGGGAGGAGGATCAGTGAAAACAGACGACTGCTCCCAAACAAAAGAAACGAGAAAAAAATCAGAGGTCAAGCCTATTGAAAGACCGAAAAAAACCTTCAGGAGCGGAGAAGAAGAAGCTTCTGAAGGAAAGGAAAATGGCTGCAGGAACGTGGACGGAGAAATATCCCCACAAGAGAAAAAATTACGTGGAGAACCTCAGAAAATAAATATAAATTTATAGTTGTTTTGTATGTATGTATTGTTTTTATTTTTAACATATTTGCTTTATTTTTTCAAATAAAATTTATTTTGTATTACAAATTTGTATTTAAGTATGAGTTTTATTTTCTAAACTATGGTACTGCGCATTACAAAAAAAAATTTCAATATGCCATGAATATTTAAAATACCACGAATATAGGCATACATAGATATCCTCAGTAAATCCAGAGTATATACCATACATATATTTTGGCAGATAAAAACATATCGTGGGCATATTCCTGCAATCTTCCTGTAATATGCCATGATGGCGGATATGGCATATCCATGGAATATAGGAATATGCCATTGAGATATTCATTGCATATTCATGCAATATTTTTGTGCTATCGGGGTTGTAGATTTGTTAAAAAGTAAAAATAAAATAATTATAAACCCCTGTATAGCTAGGAAATTATATGCTCGCCCTCGTATTTTAATTTTGGTTCTTTTTTGTTTTTTAATCAATGCTTCTAAATTCTCAATAAAATACAAAAACGGTACAAAATTGTAAAATTTATTTAAATAATATTCATTCTTGTCAAAGAAAACCAGTGGTTCACCAATCAGCTGTGTAATGTAGGCGATTGAGAGATAATATCGCGGCAAGTGAGTCATGGCATAAACGCAAAGTATACTAAAGTATCAACGTCGATATACCAAATAGTGAACATGTAAGCATGTCTGTGTTACTTGAAAATACTACAAACTGTGTATGGCTTGCATTTGAGGCATTACAACAGGATAAATCGGGGCTCGTGCACAAATCTAAATTGAAGGTACTGTAAAAGTTGCATTTTTATAATTGAAATTTAATTGCGCGAATTTTTGAATAAACTCGTTTCGTATTAAATATGTTTACTTATTAATCTAATATTAACTAATCGTATTAAATAATTAATGTTAATATTAGGCACTTTCGTGTAATAAATACTCTTGTTAAAACATACTTTTCGTTATAAAATAATTCATAAAAATGGAAAATCACCTGAAGACATGACTAACAAAATGTTTATCTATAATGACATTCAAAATCACTTAGTATTCAGTGATAATTTTTACCTGGTAATAACATTATCCCACTATCTTTGTTTCGAAAATGAAATTTTCATTCAGGGTTTTGTACTTTTGGGTATTTTCGAAAAATTATCGCCAGGTGTTTTCAGCAAACGATATTTACCATCTCGCCAAATATAGAAGTCAAGTTTGTAAAAGTGTACAGGTTGTTTGGATATTATTGTGTGAATGTGAAAACACGTATTGTGTCAAGGTTGCACCAATATTGAAATACATTTAAATAGTGTTATAGTTAATGATTAATTTCTAGTAATACACGATACAAATTTCGTTTAAACTGCTCTGAGATTATCAAAATTTACAATACGTTTTATTGAAAAGAATAATTTTCTAAAACCTTTTTCTGTTATTCAGGTATTACTTATTGTATGTTGTAATTATGGTAGCAAGAGTAGCATTACAAATAATTCTAAATGGAAAATATAATATTTAAATAGACTAACAATATTTTGGCTAAAGTCTGTTCGCTAGCAAAACTAACTTAGACAAAAAAATTTAACCCAGTTGCAACAACGCTTATTAAACCTTTTAAAGGCTAATAATCTCATAACTTTATTAGACTGTGCGTAATTTAAAATTCATACCATTTAAACAGATCACATTCTCAAGCTCTGTCAAAGTTTGTCAGGCACAATATCATTTAATAAAAGTTGTGCAACCGGCTAACGTTTAAACAAGGAAAGTTAGTTACAACACAACTTTTTTTTAAAAAGTTTGAATGATGGGACGACTAGTTTCGTCCACAATAGGCCATATCATTGGATCTAAAAAGTGAGGGGGTTAATAGGTACAATATTTTAATGTGTTTGTTATAAAGGTGATTCTTATCTAATAATTTATACAAATAATTAAGGGTTGTTTTTTATCTTTGTCGGTTATTATCAGGTAAGGTTAGGTTTGGACCAGAACACTGCGGCCTCTTTGGTCTATTGTATTCCCCTGCTTTCACCGTATTCAGGTACTAAAGTTGGAATAGTCCTGTGGTTTTGGTTAATTTTAATAAGTTCCCTACCAAGTGTTCCTGGGGCGTTCTTTCCGGTTCTAGGCCGAAAAGGATAAAACGTCGCCTAGTAGAAGCTTCGCATTCGAAGATCACATGGTATGAGTTTTCTTCCTCTTCCATGCAGAGTCTACACGTAGTGGGATCAATGTGTAATCCCATCACATGAACGTGTTTTAGCAAGCAGTGCCCCGTTAGTAATCTCACAGTGGTGGATATCTAAGGCCTTGCGAGTTGTGTCTCAGTAGCAATGCGTGGGTTTGGTCCCCTTAGCATCAGCTTATTGATTATGTGCCCTCTTACCTGTTGCCAGTGAATTTGGTGTTTTGTGGTTATACAGGTTCGGGTTCTGTGAATGGTAGTTCTAATCCCTCTTTGGCGATTTCTTCAGCCTTTTCATTTCCTTGGATACCTTTGTGCCCTGGTACCCACGCTAGTTTTATCTTGTTGTGGGTTGGCAGATCATTTAGTATTCCAAGGCAGTTTCAGACAAGCTTTGACTTGATTCTGTTTGAATCAAGAGCCTTTAAAGCTGCCTGGCTATCTGAGAGAATTAGGATGGTTTGTTTTTGTACTTCCTTCTTAAATTCTCTCGTACACACAATTCGATTGCATGTATTATAGTGGTATGTTTTCCCAGTGAGCCGATGATGTCGCATTTGGGTTTAACTCCATGTACGCCAGAGCCTGTTCCCTTGTTAGTTTTATATTCATCCGTATACCATACGAGACCGCTAAACAAGTATTTATCTATCTCCTTATTTACCTTGTTCCAGTTGCAGGTGACTTGGAAGAGTCTGTTGAAGGTTGGGAGGAGTGTCATGTGATCTGATCCCATGTTTATTATAGAATCATTTACTTTATGTGTTATTCTGGTATGTTTTATATGTCCCAGTGGGTTCCAGTTTTTGGAGATTTCCAGTCTGTATGCACTCATTCTGGCCTCCCCCTTTATGACTAAGTCAAGGGGTGGGAGGTTTAGAATGATTTCCATAGAGGTTGTCGGTGTACTTCTCAGTGCTCCTGTAATACAAAGGCATGCCAGCCTCTGTACTCCTGAGAGGGTATTGAGGGCTGTTTTCTGGTTTACTTTTGGCCACCAAACAACCGCTCCATAAGTTATCATGGGTCTTGTTATTGCCAAATATAGGCAGTGGACCATTTTTGGTTTTAATCCCTACGTTTTCCAAATGCCCGTCTCCCTACAATGAGAGACATTTTACATTTGTTGGTCACTTTTTGTAAGTGTTGGTTCCAAGTAAGTTTGCTATCTAGGATTAGACCCACATATTTTACTTGGTTCGTTTTGTTTAGCCTTTCTCCAAACAAAGTCGGAGTTTCTAAAACCTCCAACCTTGTTTTCCGAGTAAAGGTTATGAGCTGCGCCTTGTCAGGGTTTACCAAGAGGTTTTCCCTAACGCACCACATTTCTGTCAGCCTAAGAGCTTTTTGCGTGAGTTCAAAGACTGTAGTTTAGAGTTTCCTTCGGCATATCCTTGGGCGTACAGCCCTTGATTGTTTAGTGTTTTCAGGAGTTCACCTGCCACTAGGTTCCACAGTAGAGGAGAAAGGACTCCACCCTGTGGGCATCCCCTATGAATATTCACTTGCATGGTTTCACTGAATATTTGTGTCTGTACTTGCCGTTCGCGTCTTCTATCCACCAGCGAAATATAAATTTTATCGTTTTTTAAGGAGTTGATCACGAAGTTAATGCAAAATTATGGTACACGTGGATTTCAGCAAATTAAAGAAGTAAAAGTAAAAATAATATTTTTGTAATAATTGGAAGATTAAAACGAAACTTTATTGATTATACATTTGAAGAATAAAATCGAAAAAATATTATACTTTACTTACAAATTAAAAATATTATTATAAAAATGGAGTTGGGGTTCACGGTGTTGAGAATTTGGACTTTTCGTGATATGTACAGAAAAAAAAAACGATATTTAAAAATCACTTTGAAAAAACAATACATTGAGGCACGTAATTATCTCTAAAATCCTAGAGTACACAAAAAATAACACTTTGTGAGAATCACCCTCTTATTAATGATCTCTATGTATTACTCATGCACAAATCCTACTTCCTCTTCTATCTATCTATCTGAATTAGGGCGTGGTTCAAAGCCCATTTGTACTGAAGCTCTAGGCTTATTGTATCTTTCATAGTTTCTATTCCATCAGATTGATTTTCTTGATGAATTCAAGAATATGTCTGATGGGCGCTTTCGTGATTTCTTCAGGTTCCGGATATTGTACCATTCCCGTTCCCATTTAAGGTTCCGACAGTGGCATAGTATGTGAATAGGAGTTTCGTCCTTCCCTTCACATATTTAACATAGGGAGTCATCAGATATTTCTCATATATTTAGGTGTCTTCTAAGGCCGCAGTGTCCCGTAAGGAATCCTATTACGGCCTTGAGTTCGCTTCTGCTAAGGTTTAGCAGTTGAAGTTGTCTGCTCCTGGATGGCCCTTATATGAATCTTTTGGACTATCTAATTCCAGGAAGTTCCACCCAGAGCCTATGGTGTTCTTTTTATTTGTTCCTTTAACACCCATTTAACATGTTGGTATGAGATACCACACGTGGGTTCTGGTCCAATAAGAGTTTTTCCGCTCCCTTTCTTGCTAGGAGGTCTGCTTTCTCGTTTCCAAATACTCCCTCATGTCCTGGCACCCATTCAAGGGTGACCTTGTTATGTTCTGCCAGGGTCTGGAGGAACTGTTAGCAATCAAATATTGATTTAGATTGTACTTCTACCCTTTTCAGTGCTTTAAGGGCTGCCTGACTGAATATGAAAAGATTTCCTGAAGTCGTGAATAATGGGCGTTCTATCCGATGGCATTCTTAGTACCGGTTTTTGTTTTAATTTCTCTAATATCATTGTGTGGTGTCCTTTTCTCGAAAGTTTCCATCCAAATCCATTAGTAAACAGCCTGTATGCCGCCGCCATAGCCTCCTTCTCCACCACAAGGTGTAGTGGAGGAAGACCTAGCAGTAGATCCATTGCTGCTGTGGGCGTAGTTCTAAATGCCCCTGTTATTAATAGACAGGCTAGTATTTGCACCTTGTCTAATTTTCTGTTAGCTGTTATGCTTTTAGTCTTGTGCCACCATATGACTGATGAGTAAGTTATAACAGGTACTACAACCAGTGCATCATACTTGGTTTAAGCCCCCATACGTTTCCTACCATCCGTCTACAGGCCCATAGTATTCTTACAGCTTTTTCTGTTGTTTTTTTCTATATGACTGCAGAAGCTAAGCTTGTCATCAAGAGTGATTCCAAGATATTTAACCTCTTTTGCCATTTTTAGATGTTGTCCCCACATATAAAGCTCCTTCATTCCTTGAAGGTTCCTTTTTCTTGTGAATGCAACAACAGAGGTTTTTGTCGGGTTTGTGGACAATCTCTCTTTTAGGCACCATCTTTCGACGATATTTAGTGCCCGCTGCATCCTTTCGGATCCAACAGACCCAAATTTACCGTTTACTACGATGCTTATGTCGTCTGCAAATGCTTGCGTGTATAAGTTCCCATAAGAGGTCATCAATCACCAAGGTCCACATAAGAGGAGATAACACTTCTCCCTGCGGGCATCCCTTGTTAACTGAGACCTCTCTTGTTGTGTTAAGGAAATTACTTGTAATGGTTCTATGATTAAGCATGAACTCTACCCACCTCGTAATGTTACT